AAACAACCCAGCAGCTCAGTCCCCACCCTACATGCAGGTGCTTTACCTGGGTACTCTGAGACGCATACAGCATTGTGGGTAACTACGGTAACAACAAAATAATATTTTTAAAGTAGTGGAAGAACTGTCAACCCAGACTTTTATATCCAGTGAAGCCATCTTTTAGGAATGGAGGTAAAATTAACACCTTCTCAGATGAAGGGAAAGTCAGGTAATTGTCAAGAGATATTCTCTAAAAGAAATGCTAAAGTTCCTCAGGCTGAAGAGAAATGATACCAGCAAGGAAATGGAATCCAGGAATGAAGGAGAAACAACGGAAGTGATAAGTATCTGGGCAAGAAATACAATAGGTGACTTTTTCCCTCCAAAGTTCTTTAAAATATTTATGACTGTTGAGGGGTACCTGGGTGGCTCAGCCTGTTAAGTGTCTGCCTTCAGCTCAGGTCATGATCTCAGGGTCCTGGGATCAAGGCTCACATTGGGCTCTCTGCTCAGTGGGGAGTCTGCTTCTTCCTCTTACTCTCTAAAATAAAATTAAATTAAAATATTTTTGACTGTTGAAAACAAAAATTTATACATTATGAAGGAGGGTAAGTTCAGTATATGTAGATAGAATTCATACAACAACTATAAAATAGAGGGGAGAGAATAAAGGAATCAATTTTTGTAAGCCTTCCACATTTTATTTGGAGTGCTAAAATCAGCTCTAAACTAAAAAGGTACATAAAAATCTTAGAGCAATCATTAAGAATATAAAGAGAGAGGCGAGAGGCCAATAAATAAATTAAAACAGGGGCACCTGAGTGGTACAGCTGGTTAAACATCTGACTCTAGGTTTTGGCTCAGGTCATGATCATAGTTGTGAGACTGAGCTCTGTGTCAGGCTCTGTGCTCATTTTGGAGTCTGCTTCAGATTCTTTCTCCCTCTGCCCCTCCCACTCATGTTCTCCCTCTCTCTGTTTCTAAAATAAATAAATCTATGAAAAATTTAATTAATTAAAATAGAATACTAAAAAATGTTTAGGTAATCCAGAATAAGACAGGGAAAAAAGGAACAGAGGAACAAAAATCGGAAGGGACAAATAATAATATGGCATATGTAAATCCAATTATATTAATACATTAAAATGTTGAAGATAAGGCATCTAAGAATGCCAATTAAAAACTAGTGTCAGGTTGGATTAAAAACAACTGCATGGCATCTTATAAGAAATGCACTGTGAATATAATGATAATGACAGATTAGAAGTAGAAAGATGGGAAGAGTTATTCCATGTAAACACCATTATGAAATGTTGAAATGACTGTATTAATATCAGACAAAAGAAACTCAGAACAATGAAAATTACCTGAGGTAAATAAGGACATTACAGGGGTACTTGGGTGGCTCAGTAAGTGTCTGCCTTTGGCTCAGGTCATGATCCCAGGATCCTGGGATGGAGCCGGGTGTCAGGCTCCCTGCTCAGTGGGGAGTCTGCTTCTCCCTCTGCCCCTCCCCCTGCTTATGCTCTCTCTCTCTCTCTCAAACAAATAAATAAAATCTTTTAAAAAAGAAAGAGACATTACATAATAACAAAAGTTAATTCTCTAAGGCAATGTAACAACCCCATATGAACTAAAAAACATAGTTCCAAAATAAATGAGGCTTAAAGAAGAAATAGCCAGGTCCGCAATTAGAGTTGGAGACTCAATGCTTTCTTTTGTTCTATTTGATAGAACAAACAGACAGACCATCAATATGCATAGAGAAGACATGAACAATGAATGCAACCTATCTGACATCTCCAAGTACTCTACCCAAAAACAGAACACATATATTTTGCGAGTTCACATGGAACTTTCACTGAGACAGACCACATTCTGTGCTCCAAAACATACCTTAAATTTAAAGAAATTGAAATTATACAAAGTATGTTCTCTGCCCATAATGTAATAAAACTAAAAATTAATAGCTGAAAAATCCCCACATATTTCGAAATTAAACAACATACTGCTAAAAAAAAAACCACATAAATCAAGGAATATATTTCAAGAGAATTTCAACAAATTTTTGAACCAAATGAAACTTAAAATACTACATATCAAAATTTGTGGGATACAGCCAAACCAATGTTTAAAGAGAAATGTATAGCACTTAAGTGCTCACATTAGAAAAGTCAAATTAAACCTATTCCTAGCATAAGAAAAGAATTAATAAAATGCAGAAATCAATGGAATTGAAAACAGAAAAATACTAGAGAAAATCAGTGAAATAAGAAATGGATTCTTTGAAATAATATTAAAGTTGATAAATCCCTAGACACATTAAGAAAAAAAGGAAGATACAAATTACTGATATCAGGAATAAAAGAGGTGACATCACTATGTATCTTACAGATATTAAAAGAATAGTAACAAAATTAGGAACAATGTTATTTTAATACATTTCATGACTTACATGAAATGGACAAATTCCTTGAAAGACATCAACTCTCAAAAGTCACTCAAGAAGAGACATCATTGAATAGCTCTATATCTAGTAAACAAATTAAATTTATAGTTCACATTCTTTTTTTTTTAATTGACAGAGAGATACACAAGTAAGCAGAGCAGCAGGCAGAGGGAGAGAGAAGCAGACTCTCTGCTGAGCAGGGAGCTCAATCCCAGGACCCTGGAATCATGACCTGAGCTGAAGGCAGCCACTTAATCAACTGAGCCAACCAGGCACCCCTATAGTTCACCTTCTTCCTACAAAAACCATTCCGTCCCAGATAACTTCCCTGATGACTTCCACCAAATATTTAAGGAAGAAATAATACCAGTTCTACACAAGTTCTTTCCTAAAGACAGAGGAGGAGGGATCGCTTCTCAATTCATATAATAAGGACACTATTCTGATACCAAAACATGATAAGAACATCACAAGGAAAGTACAAACCAATATCCCTCATGAACGTTGGTGCAAAAATCTTGAGCAAGATACTAGCAAATGAAATCCAGCAAGAGAAGATGTCTTACACTGTTACAGATAAGGAAGTATTTTAAGACTACAGGAGACGTTTGAAAAGGGCACAGGAAGTGCCTTGAAGGAGTTCCCACTGGTCAAACTTGGGACAGGTTTGAACATCAAAAAGAATAATAACAGTAATGTTTTATTGTGTATGGAATAAGAGAGAACATGTGAGTTTAATACTGACACTAAAAAAAAAGTACAGGAATAAAAGGGTTTCTTTACAAAAGCACACACTGGTCAGTGTAGATGGAATCCTAGCAAGTCTCAGTGTAGTAACTGCTCCAGGCAGGATCATGAATGACTGCTGAAATAACTGAGCAAAATGTTCTTGGATACTGGATATTCACAGGGTGTTGAGGTATCATCCTGCAGATTAATTATAAATTACAAAGATTAAAAAGAATTTTTACAATGGAGAGTTCTGGCAGATGACAACACAAAACAAATGACCAAATTTATCAGTCATTGCTTCCAAAATACTGTATCATGCACCATCCTTAAACTCAATGACTTACAAATGATAGTCATTTATTTTGCTAATTCACATATCTGTGAGTTGGCTGGCTTTTGGCTGATCTAGGCTGGGCTTGGCGAGGTGGTTTTGCTGATCTTGGCTGGGCTCATTCAATTATAGAAGAGCAGACAGGGAGCTCTGTTCTAGGCTTGGCTGAGGCAGTTCTGATCACACGTGTCTTTTCCTACTCCTGGACCCAGCAGCCTGGTCCAGACATATTCTCATAGCAATAGCAGATGTACAAGAGAGCAGGCCCAACCACATTAACACTTCCAAAGTTTTTGTGTCATATCTGTTAACATCCCACTGGCCAGAGCAAGTCACATGGCTGAGCCTAGGAGCGGGAAATTAATTACACCTTACGTCTCCATGGGATGGTGCTGGAAAATTATGTTTGACTTTGGTTTAATTAAAAGTTGAGGAAAAAGGAGGGGATGGAATTCAGAGATGCTAAGATCTCTTTGGGAGCTGACATTTTAGAATTGAACCATATGGCTCTTTCCCCAGGAATGGGGCAAACAAGAAGGGAGATGCACATAGAGTATGGGTTTTTTGCCTGCTTCAGGTCACTGGGGTGGCTGGAATGGTCCCGTCAATAATGCATCAGAAGTGCCCCTACCTGGAGCCTTAATCCCACTTAAGTTATCAGAGAAAAAAATATTCATTACGTTTTATAAATACATAACTACTCACAACATATTCATTCAGTACATCATTTACAATTCAGAGTAATCATAGTGGTGTATTTTAAATCAAGCAGAGGAAGATACATAATAAATGCATGTATTTTTAGAAGCCTGGTTCAGTTTCATGGAAAAAAAAAATATATAGCCGAGGGACATAATTGGAAAAGAGATGTAATTCATAGTCTAGGCCAGAAAATTTAATTCATTCTAATATGTGTAAAAGAACACCATGGTGGCTAGAGATTTCTAACTTCATTTCACGTGATTCATAGGCTGACTCATGTCAGTGTGTTGGCAGTTACATCAGGGATGGATTCTGAGGCGGCAAGATGCTGCCCCGTAGTATCAGAGTGAATAAAAATTCTCATCACAGAGTTCTATTATGAGGCTGTTGGTCTCTGTGGAACTGCGTATGCAACCTCGGAGGAGACATTTGGGCAGCGGGGAAGGGAGAAGTAGCTGCTTAAAATGAAGCCTCACAGGGTTCCTGGGTGGCTCAGTGGGTTACACCTCTGCCTTTAGCTTAGGTCCTGATCTCAGGAATTGGGCTAAGCCCTGAATTTGGCTCTCTGCTTGGCGGGGAGCCTGCTTCCCTACCTCTCTGCCTACTTGCGATCTCTCTCTCTCTCTGTCAAATAAATAAATAAAATCTGAAAAAAAAATGAAGCCTCATGTGTCTGAAATGGAATATTACGGACTCTAAAAATAGGTGCTAAGTAACCACTCTGTCAGGAAATGATGTATCACAAAGTTAAGCTTTCCACTTAGGGAATATAAAAGGACTTTTCTTTTTCTCCCTTGTGTTCTGTCTTACGGGGGGAAAAGTGCCTCTCAGAAAGAGAACTCAAAATCTGTACACGGGGATTCTGTACCTTCTTCATTCATTGCATTTTATTATTATTTTTTTAATGAGATGTTTTCAGATCCTTGAGCCAACAAGTAGAGTCTCTGTTATATTCTTGGACCAGGGATCTGGGGACTGGATGCCCATGAAGCCAAGGCCTTCACAACAAAATACCCACACCCCATCCTCACCCTCACCTTCAACCGGTGCTTTTATCAAGTAAGTATTGCTGAATTATTCCTTTGAATTACAGATCGTCCAAACGTAAGCCATGGCCAATGCTGACAGGAAAGGGAAGGAGTGTGGGTAAAAAGGATTGGGCAAAGGGAAGCATTATGGACTGAATTATGTACCCTCCCCCCCAAAAATGCATATGTGACACCTTAAGCCCCCATGTTACAGTATTTTAAGATGGAGCCTTTAAATAAGTAATTAAGGTTAAATGAGGTTTAAGAGTGGGGCCCTAACTCAACAGAACTGATGTCCTTATAAGAAGAAGGGACACCAGGACACTGGGATAGAGAAGAAGCCTCATGAGGACTTAGCAAGAAGGTGCCATCTGTGAGCCAAGGAGAGAAGCCTCCAGAGACCAAACCACCAACACCCTGATCTTGGATCTCCAACCTGAGAACTGGGAGAAAATACATGCCTGTGGTTTAAGCCCCCCCAGTATGTGACAGCTTGCTATCGCAGCCAGAGCAGACTAACATAGGAAGTAGCACTTATTATTCATGCACTGGGTGGTGAACCCTAGGATAAACACTCAATACATGTCATTAACTTAATCCTCCCTGTAACAGCCCTGCGAGCTGGGTAAAAATAGCTCAGAGGGCAGGAGCTTGCTCAAGGTCACAGAATGGCAGACTCGCTATTGGACCTCATGTCTACTCGATTTCAAAGCTCAAACTGTTTTTAATGCGTTAGAGGTTCTCAAATATTGGTGTGCTTCAGGATCATCTAGGGAGCTTGTTAAAAGTTCAGAGGCCTCTATCCCACCCAAGATTACTGAATGAGCTCGAGGCAGAGGACCCAGGCTTCTGTATTTTTAATAAGTTCCCCAGGCGAGGCTGACACCACCCCCACCCCCCTGCCCCCCGCCTAGTTCATGTGGCTGTGTGAAGAAGAGTTTGCTGTCTGGTGGTTTTTCAATGCTGCATGGGGAGACCAGAAGCTGTCTAAGACCAATAAAGCTAGTTTAGCATCTTTCTCAACCTCTCAACTTCACAGGAACTCCAGAAGCTATAATTTTCACGAGCTTTTATTGGGGGGGGGGTGGTTTCCAGCAATGTCAATTTAAAATGCAAAAATCCACTCTGAATTGACACATGACCTTGGGTAATCACCTAACACTGATGGTCCTTGATTTGCTGAGGCTGCCTTACTCTACAGTCTGGGCTATTCATGCTATGACTCAGAATTTTTAACATGGCCATTTCTCTGTTCTCTGACCTATTTGCTGCTGTCAGCCACATCCACTGCAACAAAGTTTCAGCAGGACAAAAATGCCAAATTGTTTTGGAAAGCTAATAACTGCTCCTTAATTCTTAATGTCTTATGAATTTAGAATTCTGTTTACTGTATTCTCATAAAGTTTTGTGCACTCATGGTTATTTCAGGCCACTGAATTATTATTTTGTGCAGGGAACCAGACAAATACCAGATATTCCTTCCCTGACAAGGCTTCCTGAACTGTCTAATTAGTTTCAAGGAGAAAGATACTCACTTGTACAAGCCAGCCCATTATTTTCTTAACATCAAGGAATACCCTTTCTCAGCATATGTCATCCCTGAAGCTATGGATTTGCAGGGCTGCCTCACCATCAGACAGGAACATAATTTGCTTCTGTGTGGTATTTCCGAGGCCCGATTTCTTATTTCTTGTCCGCTATTTTAAGAATGCAATGAATTCAGAAACTCAGTTTGGCTTCAAGGATTGTTAGCTATTTCCTAACTGTCCCTCTAGGGAAAGAGGAAGTAAGAAGAATGGAGAAGGCAAAAATCAATAGAGTCTGCGTGAATTAGCTCTCTCCCTCCATCAGACACCACGAACCTGAGTGAAGTGCGATCTTGTCGTAGCAGAAGCCAGTGGGCATCAAAGTGCCAATCAAGCGCAGGTGGGAGGCTATGCGGGGGCTCAGACAGAGGCAGCCACAGGGAAGAGCTGATTTCCCGCTTTCTCGAAGCTCTTCTTTGGCAGGGGGAAACAAATACAGGAAGAACGCTGCTCCTCCAAAGAGTCTCTACAGAGAACAGCCTGCAGCACCTGGAAGAAAAATGGGCTCTGCTAAAGGAATCTATGCTAAGGGCACGGAACTATGCACCTCAAAATGCTGAATGTTACGGTATGTAGATTATTATACCCCGTTTAAAAGAAAGGCTGTACCTGGGGTGCCTGGGTGGCTCAGTGGGTTAAAGCCTCGGTCTTCGGCTCAGGTCATGATCCCAGGGTCCTGGGATGGAGCCCTACATCGGGTTCTCTGCTCAGCAGGGAGCCTGCTTCCTCCTCTCTCTCTCTGTGCCTGCCTCTCTGCCTACTTGTAATCTCTGTCTGTCAAATAAATAAATAAAATCTTAAAAAAAAATAAAAAAGAAAGGCTGTACCAGAAAAGAAAATACACTAAGGGATTTTGTTTTATATACACAAAACAGGAAGAGAGAAGTGTGAGGGAAGAGTAAGGAAACACACACACACACGCATGTGCACGCCTGCATGCGCATGCACACACAAAGAACCTGAAAGTGCCAGGAGATTGGAAACCTGGCTTTCCACTCACTGTTTGCATATAGTATGTGTTTACATATCCCCTGTCACGCGTGGCAACTCTTACTTATGTCAGGGGATTCTCATTCCTATAGAGTCAAAGGACAAAGAGTTTTGTCCCAAAGGCAGCCACAAAATGACAGGCTCTCCAGGATTTGACTAGTATTATTTATTGATTTGACTTATCACTAAGTTGACCTATATCTTCTGTTAGTACCCATAGGATAAAAGGGGACCCCTCTTTAGGCTGGATCATGGGACCACAGCCTTGCTCTCTTCCTCTGTGACCCATGCTTCCCTCAGCAGTGGCTCACCAAACTCATGACCCTTATGAAAAGCTACTTCACCTTAATTATAAACTATTCACATTCACAGCACCTTTGGGCTCAGCTTCGGTCATAAAACCAGCCTCTTTGCTCAGCTTTGTCCTGTGTATGCCTTGGTCATTCAGGTTCCACTTCTCAGCCACCAGCCCTTGAGCCAAGGCGCATGCTGGTCCTTCAGGCACAAGTGACCAAAAAGGTTCTAAGGACCCCACCTCAGGACGATTGCCTACCTCGTTCACTCGCTTTCAACGTCCTGGCAAATCTCTGAGCACACAGTCTACGGCAGGTTTAACCAGTCACGGTTCTCTTCAAATATTTTCCCACTAAGGTCATAGCTGTCTCTCTCTCTCATTCAAGTTTTCCTTGCAGACATTCCTGTCTCTTCTAACCCAGGGCATCAGTCTTTTCTTCTTGCTGAACATAAGTGATCAATGCCCAGGATGCATAAGTGAAAACTGACATTACACTTAACATTAAATTACATTTATACATATGTAAATATATGCATATATATATATGAAATGGTCTGGAAGGAGATACACAGAGCCAGAGAGAGTGAGTATCTCTGAGAAGGGGAGTGAAGTTAGAACAGGGGCCCAAGAGGAACTACTACTTTGTCTTTGCTATTTGTTTCTGTGTGTATCTTTATAATTTTTAAAATAGCATGAAATGTTTGATGCGTGGAAAAAATTTTTAATTGCATGAAATAATTCTTGCCTGAAGCTAAGAAAAGGGGACACAGACATAAATAACTTAAGAGGATCAAATTAGCTCCCCAAGCCCTCATATTTGAGTCTACTTTTCCTAAAAATAAGACACTGTGCAATAGTAAGGATATGCAAAAAAAAAAAAAAAAAAGCATAAAGAAGGTAATGATCCCAAGTCATCCTCAGCTAACTTAAGAAAACAAACACTGGCAATACAATGAAAGTGTCCCCCCTACAAACTCTTCCTTGTCACCGCTACTCAACAATTCCAAGAGAAGCGAGAACTACTTGTCATTCCATGACCAACATAGTAACTGATGTAGGAGCTGGCCTGAGTTTTGCAGATGGGAATTCCAGAAAATGCCTCTCAGGAAGCAGAGAGAAGGGATTTGAGCAAAGCCCTGGGCTGATTTGTTATCGTTTTGTGTTATCTGCATTATGCTCTCTTCCTTTGGCAAGAAGATATTAGTGGGGAGGATGTCTGAATCAAAGTCAGCAACAAGCTCTGTGGGCAGCAGCCCCCGCACCATGACTGGCCCTGCTTCCTGGGAACATGTTTTCCATGATCACTGTGTCCGCCGTGCCCATGGTAATGAGGAGTTGGCTGTCATCCACTCATTTCGGTGTACGTCACGGCAGGCCACCTAATCAACATTCCACCGGAAGGCAGCTCTGTGACCCTGCAGTTGAATGACACTGTTGCTTTCCGAAAACTGTAAATCAAAGGAAATAGAGATTGCTGGTGAATGAAACCTTTTATTTTCTTTTTTTATTAGCACTTGAAGTTGGGTTTTCTCCAGTATCTTTTTATGGTCTGCGAGCTCAAGTGTGATGGATATGTCTTTGGAAATTCGTGACGTAATTAAAGACTCTGTCCCCTCTGGATCGCTTGCTGGTGGTTACAGGTGTTTTTCATCTTCTTTCTCTTTCAGCAGAGTTGATGAAGCCCAAGCTGATTTTACGTAAAGGATGCTCGCAAAGAATGGATGTAAATGAGAACCACTTCTCCTAAGAGTGAAGATTCTGTTTTTGATCATTCTAACCCCCCCCCCATTTGGGGGGCCAGTTATTATTTCCAGCTTTCTTTGTTGTTCGTTTTCCTAAAAGAAATATAATTTAAATAATGCTAACTACATTAATTTACAGCATGTGAGTGCCTGGTGATAAGGCTTTTAGTTCCCCTCAACTTTATAACTGTATCTAGGCCATAACACATAAATTGTCTAAAAAAGTACCTAGTGCTCTGCCAATTGGCAGCGTCGGCTTTACGCGTCAATTTGAAAAGGTTTAGATGTAAAGTGATGACATACTCATACCAGAATGATCCCTGTTATGTTCCCATAATTAAAGAGAGGTGTTCACTAGGTCTGTCCTATCCATCCATCATGGAGTCAGAATGGGGGATGGAAGTGGTTCATTGATCAAAACATCAGAATTAGATTGATCTTGGTTTAGATCTCTTCCCTTAACACCATCCAGAAAGTTACTAACTTTGGAAATTAAAAAGACACACACAAAAATCAGCTGAACAACAGAAACTTTATTCTTTCTATCTACCATCTATCTATCCATCTGTCAGTCTATCTATCTATCTATCTCTATCTGGAATCATAATACATGACATGAATAATCATATACATCTTACTTACTATGTAACTTACTAAAAGTTATGTAACTTACTAAAAGTTACTTAACTAACTTACTAAAAGTTAACTTAAATAGAGCCAAATAGCCAGATATACCACAATTTCAAATAACAGTTATGAAGAATGGTCCTGTCCCCCGCCTTCCCCTGTTCCTGGCATAGGGAAGCCCTTGCCGGGGCACAAGACGAAGGGGTCCGGCTGCAATCATCCTCTTCCTTCACCTTCCTTATTAAGTTGTCTGATCCACTTCTTAGTCTCATCCAAATTTTATGCTGATGTGGTCATGACATTTGTCCTAACAAATCAGATAATATTAATGAGCTGTAATTATTTTACCCTCATTTTATAGACAAAAAATGAGGCCAGAGATGCTCTGACTTGCCCAAGATCCTGTTAGTCAGTGGTGAAGTCAGAGGTAGAATTCCAAATTCCTAGCCCCCAGTGCACTATGCTTCACCCCAGAACACTCTTGTCTTATAAGACTGAAAGATGCTAATTAAGAAAACACTAATTAATGCTGCACTATGGGGAACTCCCAACAGTACGTTAAGAAACATCAAGAGAAAACATATCCTTGAGTAGACCTCATCTTTGACACCACGGATCTTCTTTGAGACAGTAAAATCACAGTCTTAGGATGTTTTTAGTGAGGATCCACACTTGCTAAAAGACTGTTTCAGAGAATCGCAGAAACTCAGAAGTCCTGTGGATTTTGTACCATGTTTGGATTTGCCATCAATTTCTCAGTAACTGTGTTAGCATTTCAAGCCAGCTGGGGATAGGCCAGAAAATGAGAAAATTAGCTAGAAGCATCCAATGCCCTTGATTTAATAGCTGCTTTCATGGAGCTAACATCAGGCTCGTTTTTGACCAGTCATGATTAATTCTTGCAATGATTCAGTTCTCTTTTGCCGCGGCTTGTCTAAAATACTTTGCTTGCATAATCATCTGTCAGAACTTTACTGGTTAAAAAAAAAAAAAGACTAAGACAACTAACTAATATAAAGGAAACTTTGTAGCCACCTCCACAGAATGAAGTAAAGCTCAGGACCCCACTTCACCTTCACCCTGAACTGGACTAGTGCCTATGAGGTTCAACTGTGCAAGCAGAGCAGACATGTGATCCTATCCAACTGAAGCTAACTGTCCTTTTCCCGTTGAGAGATGGTACCCCAGAAGCAGTTACAGTAGGCTGAGCTGGCCATTGTTCCAGAGGCAATGGGTTGATCGAGCCCCATAACCAGGAGATCCATAGCTCACACTTGAATAAATTCTCTCAAAGCCGCACTTTGCAAAGACCGTTCATGAGAGGGAAAGGTTATACCTCTACTTTAACATAATAAGGTTTTCGATGGGACAGAGTGGGTATACCCTCTTTGGGTTTATTCCTACTGCATCTAAAGTTGGTTCTAATTCTATCTAGACTCCAAGGAGTGATCAGGGCTAGACCCCCTGTCTCTTGCAGGCTAACAGGGCTCTGGAAGATTCATGAGGTGCTACCTCCTGGTCTGCAAGGCTGGGTCCCTGGGATACAGTGTGGAGGCATGGCGTTGGCATTTTCCACGGCACTGAAGCCGAAGTCTACAGATCTTCTGAAGAGGACTGAGGGCTGACCAGAAAAGAGGGCTCAAGTTTACAGATTCCTATTCGAAGCCCACAGCCTTCCTGTAGATGAAGGGATTTAAATACAGTGTGCATGAGACAGGCCATACTGTCCTGTGGCCTCAAAAATAAATCCAGCCATCTTCAACCCCCAAGAGATAGCTCCCTCTCACATTTCACGTGCATCCAAGGTTGGCTGCCATTCTGCTGTACTGGTCCTCCCCTGCAGATCCCAGCTGCCATGGGGGCCCCTTCTTATGACATTGCTGGTTATCAATGCAGAGGGTAAAGAGGACACAGAAAGTCACGCATTGGCTCTCTGCTTTCGCTTGCACTTCCTGGGCCAAAGCAAGGCTCATGCCCATGCCTACTATATAAGCCTCCCCAAGGCAAGCTAGTGGATATTTATGAACAATAAAACAATCTGTAATACTAATTAAAATGCTCGATTCAGAGTTTTCAGCATCTTCCATTCACAGACCTTTTGGTAGACCTGAGACTGCCAAGCCTGCCCATTCTTAGCTGTCATCAAAGCCACTATCTACTTGGTGCTTGATGTCTTTTGAACTCTGCTTATCTAAACTTCTTTTTTTCCTTTACCTTTATTTACATAAATAATATGCAAATATGTTCTTGTGAAATATTTAGGTGATAAAAATAAAACAAGACAGTATGGTGGTTCCTCAAAAAAATTAAAACTCGAACTATCAAATGGTTCTGTAATCCCACTTCTGGGTACATATTCAGAAGAAAGAGCAGGGTCTCAAAAAGATATTTGTACATCTGTGTTCATAGCAGGACTATTCACAATAGTCAAAAGACAGAAGCAACCCAAGTGTCCATCTATGAACAAAGGAATACACAAAATGTGGTACGTACATATGATAGAATGTGATTCAGTCTTAAAAAGGAAGGAAATTCTGACATGCGCTACAACATGGATGAACCTTGAAGACATGATGCTAAGTGAAATCAGCCAATCACAAAAAGACAAAGACTTTATGATTTCTCCTACATGAGGTATCTAAAGTAGCCAAATTCATACCAACAGAAAGCAAAATGTAGTTGCCGAGGGGGGGGTAGGGGAAGTGCAGAGCTGATGTTTACTGGGGACAGAGTTTCCACTTTGCAAGATGAAACACTTCTGAGGATGTTGTACAACAGCATGAATATGCTTCATTCACAATATTGAACTCTATACTTGAAAATGGTTAGGATGATAAATTTTGCTATTTTCATTACAATGAAACTTTAAATATTAAAAATAAAGAAAAGTCTCTTGGATGACCACTTTCAATCTCATTCACCTCCCTCGAGGTGCCATCTGCTTATTAATTTGATGCAACTATTTTTCTATGTGTTTACATACACACTTATATAAATAAAAAGGAATAAATAATTTGTGTGGATTTTTAAATTTAACATATATTACATTGCATGGAATATATTTTCATCAATATGCTTTTTTCATAATGCTGATATATATTGATCCAGCTTTTTTTTTTTTAAAAATTGCTACACCGACCCACAGTATAGGAGTGTAATAATATATTTAACCACACTACTTTTAATGGACATTAATGGTTTCTAGTTTTTGTACTGTAACAATAGCTCTTTGAGCTTATGTGAGAATATTTCTCTATACTAGATAGCTAGAAGTGCATTTTTGGATCACTGGGTATGTGTATTTAACATTTTAATTTATACCACTGTGTTGCTATCCAAAACAGCTGAACCATCCACAGTTCAGGAAAATCCATTTCCCCACTTCCTCATTAACGCTTGCTATTATCAGACTCTGCAATTTTTGCCAAACTGATGGTTGGAAACAATAGCTCATTCCTGTTTGATTTTCGTTTTTCTGACTGCTATTGAAATTGAGGATTTTTTCATTTAGTTGTTGGTCATTTGTGTGTTTTTCTCGCAATTGTCTTCCCACATCCTTAGCCCACTGCCCATTTTTCTTTTGTGCTTTCTCTTACCAATTTGTGCTTTCTCTCACCAATTACTCATATATTCATCTCTTGTCTTTTAGAATATGGGTTGCAGATACCTTGTGCACCATTTATTTTCCAACAACATTTATTGAATTTTTTTACTTAGTAGTTCAAAATATCACCCTTATCATTTACTAAATTCTTGTATATACATAGGTCTGATTCTGGACTCTGTCTTCTGGACTCTATATTTAAGAGATCTGTTTATCCCTCACCCTTATGTCACATTTTGAAAATTACTATAGCTTATAATGTACTTGATGCCTTCAATACGCTTCTTTTTCAAAGGAACCTTTGCTGGTCTGGTTCATACTCTCTTCCAAATGAATTTTTGAAAATATTTGAGATGGGCTAGAAGATTTGGGCTGGGGAAAGGTGTTTTGGCTGATATTGCAATGGATTTACAGGTTAATTTGGGGACAACTGACATTTTAAATATATTGAGTCATCCAAACTAGGAACATGATTTAACTCTCCATTTATTCAAATGCTCCTTTTGGTCATTTAATAAAATGTAACAAGTATTATATTTTGCTTGCTGGGTTTATTCCTAAGAATTGTAGAAGCTTTGTTGGTGTTGTGAATGGAATTTTTTTTTTTCAATTACATTTTCTAATTGCCTTTGGTTAGCATACAGGGAGGCTATTATTTTTGATATGCTGATTTTATATCCATCCACACAGATACATTTTTATTGGCTAAATGGGTTTTAATGTATTCTTTTGGATTTTATGAGTGTATAATCTGTCAAACTATGTCAAAGACATTTTTGTCTTCCCTCCCCAATATTTCTATTTCTTATCAAATTGGCTAAAGTTTTCCAGCACAATGAGTGGCATAGCAGCCTTTTGTTGTTGTTCTTTTATACTTCTAATTTTTTACCATTTGATATGGCATTTGCAGTAGATCTCTGGCACATATGCCTATGCAGTCAGACTTCCAATAAGAAACTAATGGCATTCTGGGGCGCCTGGGTGGCTCAGTGGGTTAAAGCCTCTGCCTTCAGCTCGGGTCATGATCCCAGGGTCCTGGGATCGAGCCCCGCATCGGGATCCCTGCTCGGTGGGGAGCCTGCTTCCTCCACTCTCTCTGCCTGCCTCTCTGCCTACTTGTGATCTCTGTCTGTCAAATAAATAAATAAAAAATCTTTAAAAAAAAAAAAGAAACCAATGGCATTCTGACATAGCATAATCTGAGAAGAATTTGTTTATAAAGGGAATAGAGTTAATCCTCATCATTCACGATTCCATATTTGCAAATTCACCTGCTTGTTAAAATTTACTTGTAACTATAAATTCAATACTTGTAGTGCTACCACACTAATTCAGACACGTGTAGAGTGGCAAAAAAAATTTTGTAACTGACATGCACCCTCCCAGCTGAAGCAAAACAAGGCGGCATTCTCCATTCTTGTGTCTGCTCTCCTGCTGTAAACAAGTGTCTTTTCACAGTCAACTTGGTGACACCTTTTTTGGATGTCTGTACTTTTGTTGACAATTTTGCTCTTTAAAAGGACCCCCAAGCATACTGTTGAAGTGCTGTCTAGTGTCCCTAAACACAGAACAGCTGCAATGTGCTGAGAAAATGTGTGTGTTCATTCAGGCATGAGCTATAACGTTGTTGGCCGTGAGCTCAATGTTCATAAACCAGCAGCATATATTACATAAGGTGTCTTTAAAAAGAAAACAGATGTAAAACATGGTTCTGTATTGATCAGCTGACAAAAATGTTGTGACCAAAGTTTTGCAGGACTCTACCCCTATATTTCCAGGGGGAGCAGTGGTTTAGTATTCCTAATTCAGTGTTCTCAGCGACTTTATAGAACAAGGCCACTGTAAATAAAGAGAATCTATATTTACAAATATTTGGGTGCAAAGTACCCTAAAGGCTAGTGCAGCAACCCAGGTCTTAGAAGCGGTGGAATTTTCATCAACTCTAAGTCAAAGGAAGGATGGAGGGAATGATTATCAGAACCCTGAGGGCAAGAGTCCTGGGTAGTCAAATGTCCTGACAGGTATAGTGACAGCTCAGGTGACCTTGCAGGTATGGAAAGAGAGGAACACATCCCTTGACCTCACTCCTCTCCTTCCCTCAGACTTCTTGCTGACGTTCCTATGAGTCAATTTCAGCAGGAAAGCAGCAGATGCAGCAAGAGACGGGAAGTGCTCATCTTATCTATACATATGAGTGAGGGCTGGACTTTAGGGCACAGGAAATACAGCAGATGATGTATCAACTGAAAGTAAGATCCTTATATTCTTAATTGGCTACTGAGCTTTAAAAAAAAAAATTACAGGGTTACCTGGGCGGCACAATTGTTTAATAAGAGTCTGCCTTGGGTTCAGGTCATGATCCCAGGATCCTGGGATCAAGCCCTGCACTGGGGCTCCCAGCTCAGTGGGGAGTCTGCTTCTCTTTCCCTCTGCCCCTTCTCCCTGCTCCTGCTGTCTCTCACTCCCTCTCAAATAAACAAAATCTCTAAAAAAAAATGAGGATTACTGCTGAATCTTATCAAATTATTTTTCAGCATCTATAGTTTCTTCCATTACTCTGTTAAAGTTGTCAGTTATATTAACACATTTTCTAATGTTAAGCTACCTTGTGTTACTAGGATAATTCAACTTGATCATCTTGCCTTATCCTTTAAATATACTGATTCAATTTGCTAATGTTTTAGATTTTTGCATGAATAATCAGTCTAATTTTCTTTTTCAGTTTTGTTATCTTGGTAAATCTAGCCTCCAAAAATTAAACTGGAAGGTTTCCATTTTTCCTAGACTCTGCAGTAGCTTTTATCACATGGGAATTATCTCTTCCTTGAAGAATTTTTAGAACTCATAACATTTTCTGGGGTTTTCTTCTTATAGCTTTATCAGTTTCTTCTTCCCACTTCACTTTCTTCCCT